CATTCGTGGCAGAACACCATGCAATACTTGGGCCACTCTCCAAGTCTGTGAGTGCTGTGCAGCTCCCTCCCGCCCAGGCCCCTTAAAACACCCTCGCCCACAGCCCTGGGGAGGAGGATGAAGAGTGAGAAGGAGGTGGAGGAGGAGGAGCAGGAGGAGAAGGAGGAGGAGGGTTGAGGAGGAGGAGGAGGATGAAGAGTGAGAAGGAGGTGGAGGAGGAGGAGGAGGATCAGTCTAAACCCAAGAAGCATCAACGATGTTGCAATAAACCCTCCTTCGAAGTTCTCTTGTCACAGGTCCCTACAAGGATTCATTTTCACTGAAGGAAATAGCCCGCTGGAAGGCAACCGTCTGAAGATCCTGCACCGTGCCACAAAACCAGTCCTGGGACGAAACACCCAGCCCGCCCTGCCGACACGCCTCGGAATGCGACAGGGAGGAATTAGCTGTAAGGAAAACGGGTGGAGGAGGAGGAGGAGGAGGAGGAGGAGGAGCGAGACAAGCCACGAGCCCGCAAGGGAAGAGCGCACAAGGCAAGGACGAGGCGATCCGAGAGGATGAGGATCAGGAGGAGGAGCTGCACGGAGGAGGATACGAGCGCAGCAGAAGAGCGAGATGCCCAGCGGGCTGAGCTGGCACAAACAGAGCGCAGCGCCGCCAAGACTGCCAAGCGGAGATTGATGGGCGAGACGGAGCTGGGCAACAAGCGAAACGTGCGATAGGCTGGAGGTCCGATGGCGACTTCTTCAACGACGTCGGCCGTCGGCGGGAAGACACCACGAGAGCGCCCAGGAGAGATGCGGCAGGTGGCACAACGGCGCTGGCGATCGAGAGATACATCGTGCAGCCAAATATGCAGGCCGTGCGGCCGCTGAGAGCCCGGACCCAGCAAGACGTGCACCACGCACCCGGGAGAGGGCGGAGAGCTGGGTGGCCCGCGGCATGAGGATCGAGGCCGCGACGCGCGAAGGAAGATAATCTTCGCGCCACTCGGGGCCGGCCTACGAGGTTCCTCCTCCTCCTCCTTCTCCTCCTCCTCCTCCTCTTCCCACCCCGCGATGCATTCTCAATATCTCCCGCTCTGTCTGGCCACCATTTCGAAACGATTCGACAGGTCAGCAGGGAACGACTCGCCTGTTCGCGAGCGCGGGAAGCGCATCCAGCACCCAGCGCTGCCAGCGCGGAAGGGAGGATGGCGTAGCTGAGGGGAGTGGAGACAGAGAAGCAGCAGCGGCGAGAGTGAGCTCTATGGCGTAATTGGTGGAGTCAGCGATAAGATGGAGAGCGCGATGATGATATTCAGAAAATGTCGGGCATTGCCGGTGCGATGGTAGGAGTGCGCTCCCAAGACGCTGTAGCGAAGTCTCGTCTCCCAAAGCAGCCACGTGAGATCCCGACACCGTGAGATGGCAGATATTCTCAGATTTGGGATGTCCGCCAGCGCGTGCAATTATAGTCGCACCATATTATGTCCAGGAGTGCAGCGCAGGACCACCCAACATTCCGAAGCGAATCCAACTCTCCATGTCGAGGGCCCTTAAGGCTAGACGAAACGAGCTAGCAAGCACCGCCAGCTCATAACGAAGAACGGCAGGGGGGAGAGGGACGACCTGAGCAGCGTAGCTGAAGACAGGAGGAATACAACCTGAATAGAGGACGGTGCTTCGGGAAGCATGTCACGATAACGACCTGGATAGAAGATTACATTAATATAGAATGAAGAGTACGTGCTTCGGGAGGTCGCCAAGGAAGCGCGAGATGTTCTCGCTTCTCGCCACCCCCGCGCTCTGAAACCGTGTTGCAGGTCGTTCGATACATTGCCAGAACTTTCTGGAGACAAAGTGACGTCCTTACCCTTGCGCCTCATCTCTTAGCATCTGGCCGGGGGAGGTCGATCGGTCACTTGTCCCGTCGCCTTCCTCCTCGAAGCCCCGTCGCTTCATCAGTGGAGCAATGAGATGCTGCGTCTATCCGGCGAACGGGCAAAACAACATCTCCGTAATGCCACCCGTGCCGACGCTCCCAACGCGCATTGACGAAGGACGCTGACCATCGAACGGCGTGCGAGACTGTGGGCTCCTTATCTCGGCGCTCTCTGCAGGTCGGGGATGAGACTGTCATGAGTCCTCAAAAGCAGACCTAGCCCATGACAGATCATTGTTCCCCCGTGTTCTCCGAGAGAGACTGGGGTCAGAAGGCCGCTTCAGTTTATGCTGGCCGCTTCATGCCAGTTGAGGATTTCTATGCGCAGGTGTGTTGCTTACACGCGTGCTTGGGGAATCTGTCCAGGGCGTATAAGCTGTAGGCGGTAGACGGTAGACCGACGTGCGCCAGAGCGCGCCCTGCGCGGGCTGTTGGAGCGCCGTTTCTTACAAAATTATGAAAATATTATCCCACACGTTCTGAATGCTGATGTCGTCTGTTCAGCACTTCAGCGGCCGGTCCGGAGCCCAGCGCGTGACCAGGCTTCAATCCAGCACTGTCTTCGATCACTTGCCGTCGGTGCTGTCGACAGTCTTCTGCAGCAGAACGGCGTTACGATGCTTTTGTGATTGCGCCCGCGAATTAAAACTCGCCGTCTCAAAGCCTCCCCCTTCTTGGCTGGGTTGCGCGACAAATCCAAGCAACGCGCGGTTCGTCCACTCCCCCCACGGAGGCGGCTCTCATCGGCGGCATCGCAGTTATTTTGCGAAACATATTTCGCAGTCTGGTCTGAAGTTTAGTCTTCCTCGCCACCATGAATGCATTATGCTACGCTTGTGGATGTACTTCACTATGCTTCTTGGGGTGCGCACCAGAGTGATCTTGGTGTGCTGCACCGCGCTCTCCTCTGGCAGTTACAAGCTCACTTCGATTTGAAGCACATCACGATACAGGCGCTACTACTCAAAGGTTCTGAACCAGAAGACGTGCGAGGTGGAGGTTGCGCGCGAAAAGTGAATCCCTAAGTATTGTATGTTGTTTTCTCCCGCGCTGCTTCCCAAGGGACCTCCGTACGTCTACTGCGGACACTGCCTCACAAGGCATCTTACAAGCGCGAACGTCTCTTGCAGCCTCCTTGGCCTGGCAAGCCTGGTGGCTGTGCCTGTCGGCACCCTACTCGCACTGGCAACGCCTTTGGGGTTCTCGCATCCTGGACCAAGGCCCCGGCCCGGCCCGCGCGTCGGGCCACTCGTCCCGCGTCGTGGATCTGTGTATGCCCCTCCCTGTCTCTCTCGTTACTTCGTCATTATTCTTTTTTGTTCTCTCTCTCTCTCATTATCATTATATTTCTCTCTCTCTCTCTCTTTCTCTTTTCTGTTTCTCTCTCTCTATATCCCTTCATCTTTCTCTCTACCTCTCACCCTCATAGCCAGTGTCGACCATGCCACGCTATTACTCACCACAGGAGGCGAGAAGGGCGGTAGGGGAAAATGGCATACCTTGTCTCTGCGGCTCACGCACGGGGGTGACTGCACTCAGATGCGTCCCGCTCAGTGCCCGCCCAACCCACCGTGAGTAATCCTCTGGTGCCCGCCGACAAAAAATCTAGCGACTTGCCCTTCACGGGCTGCCGTGCAGCTCCAACGGATGGAAATCTGCGCCTCCAACTTTCAGCATGCCATTCTGCGATGGCTTGACCGCTCGGCTTCCGCGGTCCATCGTGGCAAATGCAGCATTTGACAGGATGGGCCAGCTGAACGATGTGATCTGTCCTGCTGAGCCGGCCCGGTGTTGGACTGGAAAGGGCCTACAAACGGGACAATGGCGAGAGCAAAGCCCCACGGCGAGGAAGCAACGCCACGCGTACGTAATGGGACTGCAAACGATGTGAAGACAGGTTGACTGATTCGCATCAGTGGCGACTAAAGCGAACGGCTGGCGGATAAAGAAATACATGAAGAGATGCCAGAGACAGACAGACAGAGAGGGTCGACAGGGTAGGACAAGACGGCGACCCCTCCAAATGTCTCCGTCATGTATGCGCTGCCAGAGCACTGATCAGAAAGTGGGGCATCCATGTACTTATCATCCTCAAGATCCTCACCCTCGTTTTGCTTATTATGGTCCTCTTCCTCGTCTTATTGCATGAAACTCCTCATCCTCCTCCTGCTCGGAGTCCGTCGCAGAGATAAGCGCGCCGAACAGGTAGCAGTGCATCCCCAGGAGAGGGGTCCTGCCGTCCCGCTTCCCAAGGGCGACTCTCCTCCTCCGGAAGAGAAGGTCGAGGAGGACGACGAGGAGGACCAGGAGGCGGAGATAGACAGACTTGGGAAAGCAGCTTCGGAGGACAAGTTGCGCCGTGTGAGACAGGGGGGATCGAGAACGAGACCAGCAGCAGAAGAGGGAGCTCCCGAGGCCCACGCTCACCCTCCTCCCTTCTCCTGTTGTTGCTTCTCCTCCTCCGCCTCCTGTTACTCCTCCTCCTCCTCCTCCAGCTCCACCTTCTTTTTCTTCTTCTTATTCTTATTATTCTTCTTCTTCACGTCTCCCCGTCCTCATCCTCACCTCGCACCTCATCCCCTTCCTCCACCTCCTCCTCCTCCTGCTTCTCCTTCTCCTGCCCTTCCTCCCCCTTCTACCCCCCCCCCTCGCCCTTCCCCTCCCCCTCCTGCTCTTCCATCCTTCTCCTCCGCCTTTTCCCCATCACATGATCCTCCTCCTCCGCCTCCTCCACCTCCCAATATCCTGCTCTTACTCCTACTCCTCCTCCTCCTCCTCCTCCTCCCCCCTCTCCTCCTCCTCCTCCTCCCTTCTCCTCCTCTTCCTACTCCTCCTTCCTTAACGTTGGGCAAGCAGTAAGGACAAGCGTGCTGCGTCCTCCTCCTCGTCCTTCTCCTCCTCCTCCTCCTCCACCTCCTAGTCCTCCTCCTCCTCCTCCTCCTCCTCCTCCCTCCTCCTCCTCCTCCTCTCCTCTTCTCCACCTCCTCCTCCTCATCTCCTCCTCTTCTCCTCTTCCTCCTCCCTCCTCCTCTTCTTCCTCCGCGTCCGAGGGCCTGTCGAGCCCCACCATGTTCCACTCAGCGGCCCACTGCAGCATCTGGCGGCCGCGCGACGGTGCAGTGCGAACTCCGAGGGCATGGGCAAAGTGGCGCTCTGTTGGAGGCCCGCATTCCGACCACTGGTCTGGCCCCTTCTCCTCCTCATCCTCATCCTCTCCCCCTCATCTTCTTCCGTCCTCCTCCTCCTCCACGTCCTCCTCCTCCGCCTCCTCCACCGCCTCCCTCCTCCTCCTCCTCCTGCTCCTCCTCCTCCTCCTGCTCCTCCTCGTCCTCCCGCTCCTCCTGCTCCTCCTCCTCCTCCTCCTCCTCCTACTCCTCCTCCTCCTCATCATCATCCGCCTCCTCTTTTTATTAGTTCGTCTTCTTAAACTGATTCGCCTCAGTACTATTATTAGTATTGTGTGTATTAGTATTCGTCGTTTCCTTCTGGTTAGTATTATTGTTATGTTTATGATTCCCTCCTCCTCCTGAGACCCCCCGAACCTGAGGAATAAACAAACCGAAGAAAAAAAACGAACCGACGAAAACATAAACCGAAGATAAAGCAACTCGACCAAACATAATAACCGTGCTCTTTGATAGAACAAGACGCGAGGAAAGCACGCAACGTGGCCTCCATGGAAAGAAGAAATACATCAGTGGCTCTCAGGAGCCGTGCATTCCACTGTAAGCCTTGAGGACCCAGAAAGACATGGTCCCTCCTGGTGCTAGACGTGCCCAGGAGCGCCCTCTGTTAGACAAAGCCCCATCTCCAATCTGGTCAATAAAACGCACTATTGGTGCCGTGTTTGCCCCTTCTCCTACGCAGGCCGCCGCTGCTGCACAAGACCCTCTACTAGACAAGGTCCCTCCCCCACGCTGGCTAAAACCAATTCCTTTGCAGTGGACGCGCTCCTCCTCCGCCTCCTCTTCCTGCGCAGCGCCCTCTGTTAGCAAGAGGAGGAATGAGGAAATGAAGAGAAGGAAAAGGAGGGGGGATGAAGGGAAAAGGGGTAGGGAGGAGGGTGGGAGGACGAAGGTCGAACTAAAGCTAGCACGCGCTTCAAGAATCCTCAAAACCGATGTGGTCCCTAATGACTCCAACCGGTTTCCTATATGATTCCGATTGGATTTCACTTGGACTGTTCAGGCGTGTTCTTCAGTTGGGATTTTCCAGGTTGTGTTCCAAATTTGGATGTGTTCCTCGATTTGTGTTTTTCGTCCGCGTGCCGTCGTTCCCCCTGAATTATCAAATCCCTGTGGGGTCCCTAACAAATCCAACAATATTCCAAAACGATCAGAATCAAATTCCAATGGGTTGCCTTACGCTTGTTCTTCCTTTTGGGCTGTCTACAATTTGGGTGTCTTTTCAGTTTGGGTCGTCCCTCGGCGTGCATGGGTTTCCCTACAATCTTAAACCCCTTGTAGCCCCCAACAGTTCCAACAGGACTCTACAGGCTCCAAATCGGATTTCTATCGGATTCCTCACGCTTGTTATTCTGTTTGAGTGATCCTCGGTCTGGGTGTTTTCCTCGGTTTGGGTCGTCCCCCCGTTTGGTTTGCTCATCGGTCTGTTAATGTTCCAGTTTGGGTTGTTCCCTCGGTTTGGGTTGTCCCTCGGCGAGCCTTCGTTGTCCCTGGACTTCTGAGCTCCCTGTACGACCCCAGGCGATTTCAATTGGATTATAATCGGATTCAAACGGAATTGCAATCGGATTCCTTACGCTTGTTCTTCAATTTCGGTTTGGGTTTGTCCTCGCTTTGGGTTTTTCCTCGATTCGGATTTTCTCGGTTTGGATGCTTCCTCGGTTTGGGTTTTTCCTCGTCTCGTTGTTGTTGGCCAGTTTGGTGTATGGTTGTGTAGTTTCCTCGGTTTGGGTTTTTCCTCGGTTTGTCTTCGGTTTCCTCGGTTCAGAAGGAGTTCCTCCTCCTCCTTCTCCTCCTCCCCCCCTCCTCCTCCATCCTTCTTCCTTGGAAGCAGCTCCTCACTGTCGCACCTCAAGACGGGTCGGTAGGGCGGGCTGGGCATTTCGCCTAAGACGTCCTCACCATGTATGACACTGGAGCTTGAACTTTGCAACAGTTTGACGCATGGATGGCAGGCCATTTTCAGAATGTGGCTCTTGCCTTAGCGCCGCACACATTCGTCTTAAAATGTTGCAGCAGCTTCGCGGATGGAGGGCGGGCCGTTTTCGATATGTGGATCTCGCCTCAGCGCCACGCACATTCGTCTTAAACGCTTGCAGGAGCTTCAAAGATGGAGGGCGGGCCGTTTTCAACATGTGGCTCTCGCTTCAGCGCCGTGCACATGAATCGTAAAAAGTTTACAAGAGCTTCACGGTGGAAAGCGGTTCCTTTCCACAATGCGGCTCTCGCCTTAGCGCCGCGCATATTCAACTTAACACCATGTTTAAATATTCTTCTGGTTGACGCCCCAGAAATGGTGTTTGGGCACGGTTCAGGATTGTCAGGGTTCGGTTCATGAATGTCCCAGAGGACGGTGTCCTGGCACGATTAAGGATCGTCAGGTCGCACCGATAACGTTGATTCGCGGCCCTGGAGTCCCAAGAATGGTATTTCGGCACGGTTGGAGCAGTTCAAAAGGTTGTCTTCCAACAGGGCTCTTCCAGCTGTGGACAGAAATCTTTGTAGGAGCCTGTGAAGAGGAAACATGGAGGGAGAGTGTATTGCAACATCGTTCATGGGTCTTGCGTGTGCACTGGTCCTACCCCACCTCCTCTTCCTCCTCCTCCTCCTCCTCCTCCTCCTTCTCCTCCGCCTCCTCTTCATCATCCTCCTCGTTGTCCTTGCCATCGTCCGTCTCCGGCTCATCCTCCTGCTCCTCCTTCTAATCCTCCTCCTGCTCCTGCTCCTCCTGCTCGTCCTCCCCCTCCCGCTCCAATTCCTCCTCCTCCTCCTCCTCCTTCTCCAACTCCTCCTCCTCTCCTCCTCCTCCAACTCCTCCTCATCATCCTCCTCCTCATCCTCCTCCTCCTCCTCGTTGCCTTTGCCAGCGTCCGTTTCCGCCTCATCCTCATCCTCATCCTCGTCCTCATCCTCCTCCCCCCTTCCTCTTCTTCCTCCTCCTCCTCCTCCTCCTCCTGCTCATCGTCATGCTCATCCTCATCCTCATCCTCATCTTCTTCATCATCATCATCATCATCATCATCATCATCATCATCATCACCACCACCACCACCACCACCATCATCATCATCATCATCATCATCATCATCATCATCATCATCATCATCATCATCATCATCATCATCCGCATCATCATCATCATCATCATCATCATCATCATCATCATCATCACCATCACCATCACCATCACCATCATCATCCTCATCATCATCATCATCATCATCATCATCATGAATCATCATCATCATCGTCATCATCATCAGCACCATCATCATCATCATCACCAGCATCATCATCACCACCATCATCAGCATCCGCATCATAATCGTCATCAGTATCATAATCAGCATCATCATCATCAGCATCATCATCAGCATCATCAACAACATCATCATCATCAAGATCAACATCATCACCATCATCATCAACATCGTCATCATCATCAGCATCATAATCAGCAGCAGCATTAACATCAGCATCATCAAAAGCAACATCACCATCATCAGCAGCATTATCATCTGCATTATCAGCATCATCATCATCAGCAGCATCAGCATCAGCATCAGCATCAGCATCATCATCATCATCATCATCATCATCATCATCATAATCAGCATCAACAGCATCATCATCAAAATCAGCATCATCATCAACATCGTCATCAGCATCATCAGCAGCGGCAGCATCAGCATCAGCATCATCATCAACATCATCATCAGCATCATCATCATCATCAACATCATCATCAGCAGCATCATCAGCATCAGCATCATCATCATGAGAGAGCGTGATCCACCGCCGCTTTACTGTGGAAAATTGCCGCCCTTTTCTTCCGGAACCCGGGCCTCCGAAAATCCCACCCCCCTGCTGGAACCCCCCCCCCCCCCCTCCCCCCTTCCCCAAAACCCCCCCCCCCAACCCCCCCCCCCCTCGAGCTCGAAAACCGGGGGGGGTCACTACCGGTTCGAACCCCCCCCCCTCGAAAACCGGAGGGGGGGGTCACTACCGGTTCGAACCACTGAGCTGTCCCACTGTTCCCACCACTGTCCCCACTGTCCCTACCACTGTCCCCACTGTACCTCTGTCCCATTGTCCCACCGCCGTCCTCGCCACCGCCTTCACCACTGTCCCCACCACCACTGCACCCTCCACTGTCCTACTGTTTCCACCACATTCCCACTGTCCCCACACCACTGTCCCCCCAACACCACCGTCTCCACCACTGTCCCAGTGTCCCCACTGTTCCCACCATTGTCCTCACCATTGTCCCCACCACTACCGTCCCCACCACTGTCCCACTGTCCCCACCACTGTCCCGCTGTCCCCTCACCACTGTCCCCACCACCGCACCCCCCTCGGTTTTCGAGGGGGGGGGGGGGGGTTCGAACCGGTAGTGACCCCCCCCGGTTTTCGAGCTCCAGGGGGGGGGGGGGGGTTCGAACCGGTAGTGACCCCCCCCTTTTCATGATGAACTGGGGGGGGGGGGGGGAGGTTCGAACCGGTAGTGACCCCCCGGTTTTCCGGAGGGGGGGGGGGGGAGGGGTTCGAACTGGTAGTGACCCCCCCCGGTTTTCCGCTAGCAGCGGTAGAACACGCTCTTTCTCATCATCAGCAGCAGCATCAGCATCAGCATCATCATCATCATCCTCATCCTCATCCTCATCCTCATCCTCATCATCATCATCATCATCATCATCATCATCATCATCATCATCATCATCATCATGATCATCATCATCATCATCATCATCATCATCATCATCATCATCATCATCATCATCATCATCATCATCGTCATCATCCTCCTCTTCCTCCTCCTCCTCCTCCTCATCATCATCATCACCACCATCACCATCACCATCATCATCATCATTACCAGCACCACCATCATTATCATCATCATCATCATCATCATCATCATCATCATCATCATCATCATCATCATCATGATCATCATCAGCATCACAATCATGGTCAGCATCAGCAGCCGCATCCTTATCATCATCAGCAGAAGCGTCGTCGTCATTACAGTGCGGGCGCGGCCGCAAGAAACCCTCGCAAGAAACCCAACCCCTAGACCCGCGCGCGAGGCGCGCCTGAGGGGAAGCCGGGAGCACCCTGAACGCAGCAGCCTCTTCAACGGCCGCGGGAAGTCACCGCGCAGCGCGCGGAGCGAAGAAACCCAGGATACCTTGACGAAAAGCATATGGTTTCTTGATGCTCGCCCCCAGTGTATTAGCATCATCAAGAAGAGCATCGTCAGCATCAGCAGTAACATCATCATCAGCATCATCATCATCATCATCATCATCATCATCATCATCATCATCATCATCATCATTATCAGCAGCATCATCATCACCATCGTCAGCATCGTCAGCATCAGCATCGGCATCAGCAGCATCACCATAATCGTCATGGTCATCGTCATCCAACTCCTCCTCCTCCTCTGTATCCTTCCCCTCCTCGCACTTCTCCTGCTCCGTCTCATCGTCCTGCTCAGTCGATCGTCCTCCTCACCATTCTCATGAATCCTCCTCCTCATCATCCATCTCATCATGGTCTCGATTCCTATCTGTCCCCTGATGAATGCTTCGGACGATCCATGGCGCCCACATCGCGACAGGCTGACAGAGCGGTGAGCTAGGTTGCGCAAGCGCGCCGCGGCCTCGGCGACCACCCACGTGCTGATGAGAGTGCCAACTACCTTCCAGACCCACCGTTGAACATATAGCGTGCCAATATAAGCAACTCAAGCTGCAGGGGCGCGGCAGCAAGTAAGACCATGATTGAACGAAGGAAACAATAATCTAATCATCTGAGCCGCTTGAATCACATAGTGCCTTGATGTGTTGCTAACTGTGTGGTCACACACCAATTGCCCACAGCGGTCCCCTTCCGGGTTTCAGCTCTGATCTCAGAACGGGTCGTCTACTGGCTCTTTGATGGATTCAGGTCGGAATACACACTGCAGGGAGGATAGCGAATGCACTTGATGCCTTGAGAAGGAGCACTGGCTGTTGTTGCGGGGAACTGATGAACGTTCGGCTGCATATAAGCGCCTGCAAACATTCCAACCCTTGCACTCGAGAACGGGCTTGAACGGCCCAACTCGGCACCCTGTCTATGAGGATATTACTTTGGGGGACCGTCAATCTGGAATCGTACGCAATATGACAAAATCAATTTCGCGGTAGCTTACGCAAACCGCTCGCGTGGTGGAATGCATGGAATAACGTGCGTTTACACGCGGCCTCGTGCGGGCAGCCTGGAAGTGTCGTAAACATCCCTATCTGCGTCGGCCATTTGGCGGCGTGCCGCTGCTGTGCTAAACGCGCGTTGCCACTCAACCCAACGCCGTGTTCACGCATGCCTGTACGCTTTGACCCCCCGAGGCGTGCTGGGGAAGGCCACAGGCAGTCCGCCTGGGGAGGTGGCAAGCGAAGGCACTAGGACGTTTGCAAAGGCCCCACGCTTGCCCTGAATACTCGCGAGCCACCAGTGACGCGCCGAAGGGATCTTGTGACCGACAGTTCGTTCGGGCCGCGAAGGGCGAGGGGCAAGACATGGAGACATGCGGTAGGTGCCCTCAGCCGCAGATCCAATCGTCTGCCCTTTGGCACGCGGGTGGCATGCGCACCCCAAACATCGACACGATACAGTCTGTGGGGCACGAACCACCTTGCAGAACTTGAAGTTGTCAACCCCACTGTTCGCGCAATCGCCCAACCCTCTCACCCGCAACCCCATTTGCAAGACAAAAGCGGCGGCGATTGCGATGACTGCTTGGCCATGGCTGGCGCATCTCTGCGGCCGCGCTGGCGCACGCAAACTCGCGCGAAGAGCGGCCAGCTGGTTGGACGCAGCCGATGCGGGCGCGATGGCGCTTACCAATGGACATCCCCAGTGTGTGTCAAAGGCCGCGCTGGCGCTCAGGAATTTCAATGCGGGTCGGTCGTTCGGGCGGGCGCGGTATGATGACGTCGGCAAAAGCGGCAACGATTATGATAGCAGCGACGGTGGTAACGGTGATGATGATGACGATGACGATGATGTTGGTGATGATTGTGTTGGTGATGGTGAAGATGTTGGCGGTGATGATGATGCTAATGATGATAACGATGATGATGATGATGGTGATGACGAAGGCCATGCCAATGACGGCGGCGATACTGGCAACGCCAACAACGAGGCTGATGTCCATGTTTCGTTGGTGAAGGTTTTGGAAGGATTCTGACGCGCGCGCACGGCCGACGCGCGCGCATGTGGACCGCATGGTCCTCTTTGACAAGGATCGCCCCCCCTCTCCCCCACCAAGCGCGCAAAGGAGTTCGAATGAAGTCGACATGCGCGCGCGAAAGGTCCGCGTGGTCACATTTGCTTAACATGTTGAAAACTTGAAAGCTATGGTTCCCATAAAAACTCACAAGTACGCGCGCGCAGATTGTGTGAACAAACGGTTGAAACGAAAACATGTTTTTATTTTCACCTGGGTCCGAAAACCTCGATCTGGAATCCGTTCAACAATTACAGTGTTGGAAGGACTTCGACGTGCGCGCACGACGACGCGTGCGTGTGGGCTTTGCCCCACTGTTTGCAGTGGTGTTATTGCACATGGATGTTTTAGACAGACGAGTGCGCGCGCATTGTATTTTTTGACACGGGTGAGGGGGGTCGATACGGGTGCTCCCTGGTATGGTGAGAACTCATACATGCAATGAACGATGGGGAAGAATCGCATGTAAATTGCAATATCCTGCGGGGATCCGGTAAGTCCGGGGGGGGGAGGGTGGCAGAGTTCGTTTCCTTTGTAAAACGGAAAACTGTTTCTGACCGCATCAGCGCGTGACCACCTCCGACGGTCGCTCAAACATCCAACCCCGCCCACCCGTAGCTTGTTGACAAAACTCAACTTGGCGGCGACAACGACGATGACCATGAAGATGATGACGTTTATGACGACGGCATGGGCGATGTCGACGAGGGCGAAGAGATCGACGATGATGATGAGGCCGGCAGCGGTGATGGTGGTGGTGACGACGACGACGATAGTGGTGGTGATGGCGACGACCACGATGCCGGTGATGATGATGATGCTGGTGGACACGATGACAGTTTTGATAATGATGATGATGATGATGATGACGATGATCGACCGCACCTGGGGGGCGACAGTCATGCCGCAAGCATAGTTGTCAGTGGCGAACGCGGCAGCTGCTGCAGCGGCAAATTGCTCTGAAGGGTTTGCTGTGGTTCCGCGAACCAGCGTCGCCTTGAGCTCATGGTAGGTGCGAGAGGAGAGCGCACCAAGGCGCATGGCGGCACTACGCGAGAATGCGCACGCTGAGCAGATACATTCGCTACCTGCACCAAGGCCGAGCGTTAAAAGGGGGGAAGGGGGAGGGCGAGGAGTTCACCCAGGACAAGGCAGGCGAGGTAGTGCGCGATATAGTCGGACTGCTGACGGCAACCAAAAATACGGGATATGACTCCACTGACGTGCATGCGGCGTGATGTTGTCCACCCTCCTGCAATGGTCTTGAATAGGCCCCATTGCCAAACGGGCCTGAACGTTCGGAGTGCCGCAAGGCATTCCCCCCACCGCTCACCCACCGCCCCACTAATCGAGGCGGCAAGGCCGCACGCAGACAAACGCTTAGCGATGGTGATCTCGAAGCCAGGAGGAAAGAGAGAGGCGCGCAATGGCGCGCAGCGAGGAAGAAAAGAAACGTTGGACCTTCCCTTTGCGGCCTTCACCCACCGCGCTGGCCTGTTCGTCGCGGGCCGCTTCCAGCGCCGATCGCAAGGCAGCCACAGGGATTGATGAGGGTGGCTCCTCGGCGAGCCCGTCAAATCGCCGCAAGAAACCTTGCTCTATTTTCCAGCAGGGTGCACTCCATTGTCCTCTCGCCCAGCGCACGAATGGAACTTCAAAAATCGCCGCTTCAGGACATTCATGCAGCAGCGATTCCCAGCCTTGCAAAGTTTGAAAGCCGCGCCTCCACAGGCTCGCCGCATTCATGATAAGCGCGGAAGCGGGAGCCACTAAGCCGCGTGCCATGAAAGAAAACAGATCGGCCAATCGAAACGCGCTGGGCGGCAAACGGGGGACTTCGCGCAGAGCGAATTGTTCTTCGTGCAAGACAACGGCTGGCAATGGAAAAAGCTGCGCTATATAACTGAGTGTCGAGAGGGCAGTGCTGCTGCACAGAAGCAAGCTGGCACTCAATGGCGCGGTCGATCGTGGAATGTCGCAAGTCCATTCACGAACGGCCTCTGCCCAATCTCCGCTCTCCGTGGCCGCGGGCCCAAATGGCACTCCGATATACTTAGCCCGACCAGCAATCTTGAAACCGCGCCATTCGGGAATTTTTGGCTCTAAAACTGAACGCATGCGCTGACCAAACTCTGGCGTGACCTCCGCCCAAAGGGGAACAACTACAGTCTTGCTGGGCTGGAGCTTCAATGTTGCTAGCTCGTCGGCGCTTTTGAAGACAGGAAAGACGCGTGCTAAATCTGACAGGCAGGGCTGCACACGCCCCGCATCATCAGCGCATCCTCCGACCACCCCCGTGGAGATGGCGACGACACCTCCGCCACCAGAAGGTTAAAATCGGGGCCATAGCGATGGCCCACGCCGAGCCTGAAAGTGGGCGGCCTGGCATTACGCCCGACCGCACATTGAATATCAATTGCATTTGTCCCTGAAGCATAGCAAGGCTGCGGGGCTCAAAGTAGAGAGAGGCAAGCAAATTCACATATCCAGGAGGCACGCCAAATCGCGAGAGAACATCCCCCACAGCCAATCGCGGCCAAGGGATGGAAATGCAGCGGCCATCTCGAACGCGACAAAGACAGGCGCCTCAGCTTCGGCTGTCTCGCCGATGCTAGCCGATCGGGCGGCTGCGTCTAGCTGGAGCAAATTGCGACGAAGAAAATTCCTGCCAGGGACGAATCCTTGCTGGGCGCGGTGCGCGCTCGTACGGACCAGTCCCTTGAGCTTCTGATTGGCCACTGAAGCTAGGATCTTAGAATCCGCGTTGCGCAGCGAGAGAGGGCGAATCTGATCAGGGCTACGCAGGCACTCATAAGCATCGGTGGGCTCACTTCCTTTGGGCAAGAACGCGAAGATGGAGTCACTCAGGGCCTCTGGTGCGCGGTGGCCCGCCATGAGGTGCTGCAAGAGGCCGCGCAGGACTACGATCTGGCCCGAGACCATCCAAGCCTTGTAGGGGGGCCTATCGGGACCAGGAGCACTGTGACGTACATGTCTGAGCGTGCTCCTAAGGTCCGTGATGCTGGGCATTGCCAGGTCGGCCATCTCGCACGCCAGATAGCGTCGCTCCAAGCGTTGTCTGATATCCAGTCGATTGGCCGGTTGTGCCCGAAAGACCGCTGACCAGCGACGCCGATGGGCCTCCGAAACACAGCTGGGATCTCTGGCGGTTGCCGACTGGGAGGACTCGAGGGCATGTTCAGGACGGATCCCTGCTAGAACGAGACGACGGCCTCGGGGTCTCCATAGCAAGGCACGGCGGCGAATAGCCTTGATGGACTTGAAGTGGCGCGCTGCCACCTGCTGTTACCACCTCGTAGGGCACGCTGAGCTGCTTGTACTGCAACTTCGTGGTTGGCCTGGGGCTCAGCAGAATGTAGGGAACGAAAATGACGGCGAAAAGCGTCTGACTCCCTAAGCCTGCCCATCTC